GGGTGACAAAATGCACTCGCTTTCCGAACACACACACAGCCTCTCGACAATATGCGTTTTTGCTGGTTGTAGCAGAGCTAGCGCTGTAGCGCTGCACAGCAAAAACGCATAAAAATGAACAGTTACTGTTTAACAGTTGTGTTTGAAAATGGCCTAGTTATTCAGCCTGAAAGTTTCCCGCCAAAGCTTTTACGTACCCATACGTACGAAACACACATGCCCGGGCGCTGTGTTTAAAATCATTAAGCTATACTTGGACAGGGGACATTCCCTCAAAATTTCAGCTTTCAGCTTTCTAGCTCCCGAGTTAGCAGTTTTCCCCCCTACAGTTTCACATACTCTTATCTGGGCCCAGACGTATGCGAAGCTTGATATAGCAGTCCTACGGTAGAAGCCGGCCGGAGAACTCACTGGCAAAATTTCAGCGCCGAAGTTTGCTTGGTTACCGAGCTGAAATACCCGGACAGACGTACACGCACGTACACACACACGCACACCGTGGATCGTAACAATATGCGTTTTTATGCGTTTTGTGCTGTAACATTTGCACAAAACGCATATTGTTTAGACCCTGTACATGTGTGTGTGTTCCGATGCATTTTATCCTGGCGTCTCAAGTCAGGAAGCGAAGGAATTAGAAACTTGAAATTTTAGCGAGGGAGGGAGGCAGACTTATATCCGTTTATGATCTTGCAAACTCAAATTTAGCGTGCGCCTAGGCTTCACTTATGGCCACGTAACATTTTTAATGCCTAAATTAATAATTCGGGAAGCACAATAAGTAGGAAGGAAAATTTTAGAGAATGTTCTTTGCCCACATGTGACCGAATAAAGTGAGATCCAGCCTTCATTTACGCCTAGTTCTCATGCACGTGCACATGAAATTTTGACACCAAAATTAATAACTCTGGAACCAGGAAAGCTAGAAGGCTGGAAATTTACGATAATGCCCCTTGCTCGCATATAAGTCAGATCCGCGGACGAGTGGAAGTTTTGGCGCCAAAGTTGATAAATCGATGACTACAAAAACCGAGGGGCTGAGATTTTAAGAGAATTTTCCTTACATACTATCTCCTAACGTTAAAATCGGTCCTCATGCTGGCCTTGGCCAACTGTGCGAGCACCCAATGCTTCGGCGCGGAAATAGTCACCCCAGGGACCAGAAAAGCTAGGAAGTTGAAATTTCAGCATAATGGTCCAGTCCGCATATAAATTCAGCCCTTGTGGATGCTTAACTTCCAAGTATAGACGGGTGAAATCTTTGAGGCCGAAATTAATAGCTCTGGAACCTCTTAAAATGGAAACTAAAATTTTAGGATACTGCTCTTTGTTCGCATGTATATTCATCATTGTGCACTCCCATGTGCAATGTATGGACAAACGGAAGTTTTGGCGCCAAACCTAACCAATAACTCATTAAACAGTAGTGAAGTGGGCAATTAAAGCAAGGCTCCTCTGAATAGAGATGCACGAGCATCGGGTGGAGAGGGTAGCAAAAGGATCCAGGGGGCCTTTACTAATTTGAGGTTTTCTAGTAGCGGAGTTTGAAATTTCATGGTTTTCAGGCTCTACGACATTCATCGGATGCTGCGGCTTCGAGAACGTCCACACCACCATCATCGGCAGCGTCAGCATCATCCGACTGTTATCGTCAACTTCATCATCAACAATATCACCACCAGGAATCCCAGCTTATCAGGCCATCTGCCGACAGCAGTGCGGTCGCATTAGAAAGGACTGAAAGCATCAGCGCTCCACCATCGGCGTTTTCAGCTGGAGTGCCTCCATTGCTGAACATCGTCAGTAGCGATCGCCGGGTTTTCTTCCAGGACGAACTGTTCGGTAGCGCAGCGGACACAGTATCATCCAGCGACCAACAACACCATTCGACCTCGATCAGTCCATGCACTAACGATTCCGAAGAGCAGCACCAGTGCTTCCCGCTGCTTTCCACTCGAAGCACGCGATCAACAAGCAGCGATGTTAGTTCCAGTCGTCAACAACTTATTTTTCACGCGAAAGTAACAAACTAATGCAGTTAGTGCCAGAAAGAAGAGAGGGAAGGGGACAGCGAGTAACTTCTTTTTTTTTCGCTGAAGTAATGACAGTAAGCGGTTGGAGAGTAAACGCGGATGGGAAATAGGAAGATTATTTATCGAAGTGGGACCGGCGCCGAGAATGGTACCACACTTACCCAGATGTATGACCAACTATTTTTTTGCAAACACAGTGCCACTTTAATATTTGCTTTGTTACATTTTCCCACCATTGGCTCTGTCCATAAGGTCATTAATAATTCTCAAGACAGTGCAGAAAATATTTTCCACGAAACTCATGTCCGTAAATCTGAGCCAACACGAATGGGGCTCACTGGTAAAATTTCGGTGTTGAAGCTTGCGTGGTTGCCGAATTGAAATACCTGGGCGGAAATACACACACACACACACACACACACACACACACACA